AGTGTAAATTCATTGTGTACTTCAGCTTTAATAGTATAGATTATAAAAATCTAGTAATGTCAAATTGACAATCATCAAAACATTTGGAGCTACAGCAAAACCTCTATAAATTAATAATATTGGGACCATGAAAATCTATTAATTTATAGAGGTTTTAATTTATCGATAAATTAATTATTATTAATTTATAGAGAGATTTTCCTAATTTGGAAAGTTTTTTCAAAAAACATTTAAAATAAAATCTAACAAAAACTAAAGTGTCTATATATACATATATTTTGAAATTTTTACCTTATTATTAATTTATAATATTGATGGGACTATATATTTATAAAGGATTTTCAAAAAAATTATTATCCTATTATTTTATCAAAATTTGATTAAAATTATACTGGTCCGAGTTAGGACCAGAGAAATTTATTAATTTATAGAGAATATTAATTTATCGAGTATTAATTTATAGAGGTTATATTTGGGAGCTATTCACCATTACTCATAATATTGCTAAAATATTTTTAGAAATCTTAATTTAGCAATTATCCTCTAAAACATGATTATACCATTTTGTAAAAATTTTTATTTCTTAACTTTAAGATTTCAAAAAATCATTCTCAGACTATGAAAATTAATTAATTATTATTTAATATGATGGTAAAGTTCTTTCAAATTAACATCAATCTAAAATATGATGTTAAATACAAATATAGTCATTTGTAAATAAATTCATATAAACAACGCATATAAACATAAAGATTCTAGAATAAATTATAGCATCATTGAGGAAAACATTAAAACTCTTTCAAATACGAATTATTAAAAACTACATATTTTCTGTAAAAATATTATAAAATTACTATATTACGATTTATATTGAACTTTGTTATCTTTAATTTAAGCTAAAAAAATTATTTTCAAAAATATTTTATTCACCCTTATGTTTTAGACAATGAAATTGCTCAGTGGCATAATACATTCATACATAAATTGAAAATTAAACAAATATAACATATTATAAAATAAAATCATGAATAAAATTATGTATTTAGTTAAACTCAAAATCTAATTTATTTGTAAATTGTAAATCCTAATTCTCCTTTATGAACCCAAACTGATAAATAACCTTGTTTAATTGTAAAACCTAAATCTCACTCCTCTTTACTAAACCCAAACCGATAAATAATCTCGTTTAATTATAAAATCTAAACTATAATGCAGATTTATAAACTCAACATAGAACCCTTCTAATTGTAAAACCTACCAAAAATTAGATTAATAGTTGAAAGAGATCTTTTGAGAAATACCCCTTTTTAAAATTACACCAATTTTCTATCCATTTTAAAAAATATCCCTTTTCATATATGAAAAATTGTAAATCTAGATCATCATTACTATTGGGAGACTCAATACAAATATTTATAAAGTTTTAAAAAGGTTCTAAACGGCATTTATAAGACTTTTATAAGGTTTTTATAAGGTTTAAAAAGTTTTTATATGTTTTTTAAATAATTTTTAAAACGTTTTTAAAAGGTATATATATGGTATTTAAATTTACACACATAGAAAGATAATTTGTGTCTAAATATATAAGCTTACACATTTATTTTTTATAAATATCAATTTTTTTACTTTTTAAATATCAAAAATACCCTTTTCCATACCACTTTTTAAAAATACCTCTATTTCAAACTTTATAAAAAAGCACTTTAAATGTTGAAATTTATCCAAATATGTATGAAAACTTATAAATATACACACAAATTACCTTTATATATGTTTAAATTTTTATATTTTTCATAAATAGTGTAAAATAACTTATAAATACCTTTTAAAAACCTTATAAACCCTTTTAAAAACCACTTAAAAACCTTATAAAACTTGTAAAAACGATTTAAAACCTTTTAAAACATTATAAAATATTTGTATCAAATTTCCAAGTAGTAGTTATTATATAGAAGTACCTTATAAACCATATAAAACTTTATAATTTTTCATATTTAAACATGGATATTTTTGAAAATGGATAGATAAAGGAGGTATTTTTGAAAAGGGGTACACCAAAAGGGGTATTTCTCAAAAATTCTCTTTAACTTTTTATAATTATTTTTTTAATGTTGTTTAAAAATTCTATTTTTATCTTAATATTAACAAAATTAGATATAACATGTTGCGACATCTTATGTTTTTACTTGACACTTATCATAATCACGTGGGTTATTAAATTTAAAAACCAAGTTTCGACATATAAGCTCATTTAATTGTTAAGCTTAAACCATAATTTTAATTTATAAAAATAAACCATAATTCTTATTTATCATTTATATACCCAAACCAACAAATAACATGATTTAAATGTAAAATTAAAGTTTAAACCTTAATCCTCTTCTATAAACAAAAACCGTCATATATTCTGTTAATTATAAATTTTAAATCCCTATCTTATTAATAAACCAAATTGAAATAACTGAAATTAGGTTTTTTTTTCTCTAACTGAAATTAGATTATTTGTTTAATTTTATTAATAATTTTTAATATATAATTCTTTATGATATTTATTTATATATTTCCTTTTTCGATATGGTCAATAATATTTCTATTTTATCCAAATATTAACAAAATTAGTTATGACACGTGTCAACATCTTATCGTTTATAATTGACACGTGTCACGATCTTGTTAATGGCTGACTTTGAAAACCAAGGTTTATATAATAAGATATATATATGTTTTATCCAATAAAAAGTATATAAATAAGATCATGAAGGTGAATTGAGATTTTTGATATATTAAATTAAATTAGGTATATATCTTTTAGGAAAATCAAAATTTAATATGGAAATGATAGAATCTGCTGTAGATTAATCCAATTTATTATCCATTCCAAATTAATGATCAGAATTTTGTTTTTTCAATTAAAAGCTTTGGTTACTCTCACTAATTGGTAATTCAGCTTTAATAGTACAGATTTGTTTTGGTTGAAAAAATAATACCTAAATAAATAAAAGTGTACAAATTAATACCTAAAAAACTAAATATTGTCATTTATTTACTAGCGTTCTCATAAAAAAAATCCGAAGGTAAAAAATTAAGATTTTGTTTCACAAGAGTTATCATGAAAAAAAAAGATTAAATCCCTATATTAGTAAAAAAGAAGTACAAAATTCTCTTCTGGATCTTAAATTAAGAAAATGACCCAAAACTTCAAATTGGATCTTAAATAAAGTTGCTATGTAAATGGATTCGAGTTAGATCAAGTAACATTTTTTCAGTTACGTTACTTGATTATTTTAGAAATAACACTAAATAGCCAAGATATCAATCTTCACAATATATTCAAAATATTCCAACTAAATGATTTGTAATAAATATATTAACTGTTATAATCAATCTACGATTTTTATGGTAATATTTCATGTGCATTTTTAAAAAATATAAAATTAATTTAAAACAAGAATATAAGAGAATCATATACGAAATTTAGTTAAAAATAAACAAAGTTATTATCTTATATAAGAAAAAATAATTGATATAATAAATATAAAAAATGCATATATAAAAAAGTTAACATTATTTGGCACGATAAATATAAAATGCATATATAAATACATAAATAATGATAATCTAATTAATAAGAATGCTAATTACTATGAATTAATTAAATATGTTTAAAATCTGAAAATAAATTTTATAAAAACGAAAATAGTAATAAGAATTAATGTGATGTTTATAATTATATTAAAATCTTTATTATCAGTTTGTTAATCTTTCCTAATATGTAAAATGAAAAATATTAATACGAAAAACAAAATATGGAAAGATTTTCTAAGATTTTCTCATATCTTAACAATTTGAATTACCTAAAAATCGAAAAAATCCTATAACATTAGCATAATTAATGCAAAATTATAGAAATCCATATATATTATATGTGAATATAAAAAACATTTGTTTTTAGATACGTTAATTACAACGCAACAATAATGAAATCATATTTTTTTAATATCAAATATTGTTTTCGTTGACAAAAAAAAAAAAATCAAATCAAATTTATAAGAAACAAAACTTATACACAATTTATCATTACTATTATTTTGGAAGCAATAATAATAAAACTTCAGCTGAAGATCCTAAAATAAAATAAAAAAATCATATACTAATAATCAATTATTCTTATTCTAATAGTGTATTAAAATTATTTTTAAATATTTTAGAAAAAAAAAATTTAAAATTATAAGATGAATATTTAGCCTATAATATTCTTTAACCATTCTACTCACTATTAATATTTAATTCGAAATCACTATATTTACTAAAATTACATTATATTCCATAAGTTTGTTTAATTAGTTAAGTAAATCAATATTACGATTGTTATCATTAAAAATTTTGAATTTTTTACTTAATTATTATTTCAAATTTTAAAAATAGTTATACTCATATATTATAGATTTACAATTTCTCAATTTTCAATTATACTCATTTTTTGTCGTGATTCAATTATATTTATTTAGTTATACTACTATTTTCAATTATTATTCATTTTCTGTCATTTTAAAAAAAATACACGGGTTGGCTTGCGAAACTCATATCACATAAAAACGGGTTATAAATGATTTTTTTATATGAACGCAATTCTTTGCAAGTTGGTTTATCACAACATACGTTATGAGTATGAAATATTTTTCTCCTCTTTTTTTTTGGTCATCGATATATTTTATCTATATTACTATTTCTGTTACGAAAATGATTAGTGAGATTCATCCCTGGCGCTATAGCGCGGACCCGATTTTAGGATCAAGATTATAAAAACGGTTATGTATATTTTCATATACAGTATATAGGATCAGAAAGATAATGATTTTAACACCAAAAAATTCAAAAATATGCATAGTTTATCATACTATACTTCAGACAAAAACATAACAAACATCATAATATTCATAATCATATCATACTATTAAGAAGATACATATTTAACTTAGCAAACAAAAAGGCTTCCTAGGATCGATTAAACACATTAAATAATTAAACTAATAACAAAGACGATATAACACATTAACACTAAATTAATAATCGAAAACATTCTCCCGCGCTGTACCGCGGATACGAACCTAGTTGTATACGTAATTAAGAGGATACAAAAAGAAAAGATTTGTGACTGACGTGTAGCCATGATTAAGTCAACTTGCATCAGAAAACTCTGAGAAAGAATGGTGAAGTTGCTATGAATTTTCTATTCATAATGATGCGTGAGACTTCACTTCTCCTTTCTTTTCACAATCTCAATTCTCAATCGCTGAAGTCTGTTTGTTCTTCTTGAAATTAGCTTCCTCCTCTTCTCTCTCTATGGCTCTATCTTCTTCTTGAAATTAGTTTCCTCCTATCTCTATGGCTCTATCAACTTTGGCTTCTTCTTCTTCTTCTTCCGAAAAATGGGGGAACGACGTCTTTTTGAGCTTTAGTGGAGAGGATATACGCGAAAACTTCCTCAGCCACTTTCGTAAGGAGCTGGATCGGTATCCGATACTTGTTTTCAAAGACGACAAGATCAAGAAAGGCCAACCACTCGGTCCCAAGCTAACACAGGAGATTAAGAAATCAAGAATTGCGATCGTTATCTTTTCAAGAAAATATGCCTCTTCAAGTTGGTGCCTCAATGAGTTGCTAGAAATCGTGAAATGCAAGAAAAATTGTAATCAAGTGGTGATTCCCGTTTTCTACCGTTTGGATCCTACCCATGTTAGGAAACAGAGCGGAGTCTTTGGAATGTATTTTAAAAAGACTTGCCTCAACAAAACAGCGAAAGTGAAAATTATATATGAAAGAGCTTTGACCTATGTTGCTAATATCACCGGATATCATTCTTCTGTGACATGGTAGGTTTTCATATTCAGTGCTTACTATGTATCTTGAATAAATTGTTAGTCTCATGTTTGCTAATGGTATTTTTCATTGTTAGCAAAAATGAAGCAAAAATGATTGAGGCCATCATCTATGATATTTTGGGTGAGATGGCTTTAACACAATCCAAGGATTTCGAGGACTTTGTCGGTATTGAAGCTCCTATTGCAAAACTGAAATTTTGGTTGGATTCGAAGGCCGATGATGTGAGGATGGTTGGGATATGTGGTCCCTCCGGAATTGGTAAGACTTCCTTTGCAAGAGTTCTATTCAACCGACTCTGCCCTGGCTTCCAATGTAAGGTTTTCGTTGATAGGGCTTTTATATCTAAGAGTAAGGAACATTATAGGGGAGCCAATATGGACGACTTAAACATGAAGTTGCATTTAGTAGGAAATTTTCTTTCCGAAATTTTGGGGAAAAGGAGCATCAAAGTATCTCATTTAAATGCAGTGAGAGAGTGGCTAAAGAATTACAAAGTTCTAATATTTATAGATGATTTGGAATTGGAGGATCAATTTGTGTTAGATACCTTGGTAGGTCACACTGATTGGTTTGGACGTGGGAGCATAATCATTATGATTACAAAACATAGGAATCTTTTAGAAGCCCACGGGATTGGTAGTATTTATGAAGTTCCTCTCCCATCTGATGATCATGCTCGTCAAATACTATGTCGATATGCCTTCAAGCAAAACTATCCACCTGATGATTTTCTGGATCTTGCTTCTGAAACTGCATTGCGTGCGGGTAAGCTTCCATTGGTTCTTAAGTCTTGGGGTTCGAAATTGTCGGGAAGAGACAAAAAAGACTGGATGGATTTGCTGCTAAGGTTTCCAGAAGATCAACATGTTAGTATTGAAGAGAAACTGAAGCTTAGCTACAATGGGTTAAATAACAAAATCGATGAAGCAGTATTTCGTCGCATTGCATTCCTCAATGGTGGTGAAGCCGAAGATATCAAGTTACTACTAGCAGATAGTGACTTGGATGTTGATACTGGGATTAAAAACCTAGTTGATAAATCCCTTATCCAAGTAACAAGCAATACTGTGGAGATACACTCTTTGATACAAGAAATGGGTAAAAAGATAATTCGTACACAGTCTAGTGAGCCTGGAAAACGAGAATTCATTACGGATTCAATAGAAATTCGCAGAGTACTTGAAGATAACACTGTAAGTTTTCTTGTACTCTTTTCATATATCTCATTCTATAAAGATCAAACGACTGAGTTGAAGCGTTTGTTTAGCTAATGGTTTTGTCTCTTTTTTGTTGTTAATTAGGGTACGCCAAGCGTAATAGGTATCTCATTCAATGTAGATGGTATTGATGGATTTCATATTCATAAGAGTGCCTTCAAAGAGATGCCCAATCTTCGGTTTTTAACGATTTATAGTGCGAAGAACAAATCAGTTGGATTGAACTTTTCAGAAGATTACGATTTTATTCTACCACCTAATCTCAAATTACTGGAATGGAGTCAGTACCCTTTGAAATCTATGCCTTCTCCATTTTCTGAAAACCTTGTTGAGCTCGTAATGATTGAAAGCAAACTCGAGAAGCTGTGGGATGGAGTTCAAGTAAGTTTCTAGTAAAATTAGAATTTGTATTGTATCAAGATTAGAAATGCTCATTATATTTTTGAAAGACAATTCTTTTAACTAATGTGCAAAACTTACTTATATTTCAGCCACTTACTCGGCTTAAGAAGATGAATTTGAGGGGATCCCAAAACCTGAAAGAACTCCCGGATCTCTCAATGACTATAAATCTTGAGATACTTAACTTGGAGAATTGCTCGAATTTGGTGGAGCTTCCTTCCTCTGTGCAGTATCTCAATAAGCTAAAGAGATTGAACATGTCACGCTGTAATAATCTGAAGATTTTTCCAACCAACATCAACCTCCAAGCTCTGGACAGCCTCAATCTCTTTAAATGCTCAAAATTAAGGAGTTTTCCTGATATCTCAACCAACATTTCAGAACTGGATCTAAGTCAAACAGGGATTGAAGAGGTTCCTAGGTCGATCGAGAACTTCACCAAGCTTAAGGTGATAAATATGTGGAATTGCGAAAAACTGAAGTATGTATCACTAAACATTTCCAAAATGCAACATCTTGAGACAGCTGACTTTTCAGACTGTGAGGGATTGATTGTAGCTAACTTGAACGATGGTTCAACTGCGGTGACAAAGGCCGTCAATGTCAAGGTTTTCTCATCTCTTCCAGATGATTGTTCCCCAAGAGTGAAGCTCAATTTCATCAACTGCTTCAACTTGGATCAAGAAGCTCTCCTTCAAGAACAATCCTTTTTCAAAAGACTGATCTTGTCAGCTGAAGAAGTGCCTTCATATTTCACTCACCGTACTACTGGCACCTCTCTGACCAATATCCCTCTACTTGAAACATCTCTCTCACAATCATTCTTCAGGCTTATGGCTTGTGCCATGGTAGATTTTGAATCTACTTTAATAGATCATTGTCCGTTCCTCATCGAGGTGAACTGTCAGTTCAAAGACGGACTCAGAAACCACTTTGGTTCCGCTTATTGGCCTATGTACGTCTCGGTATCACCGTTGAGTAGCCATCTCGTTATATTCAACTGTAGCTTACCCTTAAACGGTGAGTATGCCTATCTAGCAAAACGTCACTACGATCATGTGGATATACAGTTTCGCCTGACTGATGACTACTCTCAGTTCAAACTAAAAGGATGTGGTATAAGACTCTATGAGGATGGAACTCCATCTCTGGATATTGCACATGCTTAATGACCGATGATATCAACAGGGAGAGTGGAAAGACAGGTCAAGTGTGTAGCGACAGAGAAGAAGAAGCAAATCAAGGTAGCATCATGTATCTTATCTCAAGATTTGTTTGTTTTACCCATATATGAATTATGAAAGAACAATTACTTTCCCTCCATAGTGCATCTTGTAGAGTATATATATAAATAGAGATTATGTGTATAATAGTTTCCTAATTATTCACATAATCTCTATTTATATATTTACTCTACATATCTCTCGACGTTATGCATTTGGTTTTTTTTTTTTTTGGGTTCTATGGTTTAGTATGATACTTGAAGATAAATTCTTTATCAAGTACTCCTAAGGTCTTACCTTAGTTCTATAAGCTTACTGTTACTTTAGTCTTGGTTCTTCGAATCTAACATTTCCACATTTGAGTGATTGTCAACAAAATTGTGATTGTGTGTGTGGCTTTGGATCCTCATGACTTTATGTGAAGAGAGTGCGAAAAAGTAACAATGAAGAAGAGTCAAACGATTGAGGAGAAGCGCTTGAAATCTTAAGAGTCATCTTTTTTTGTATTTTTCATATTTTTGTTTTGTTTGTTGACAATTATGGATTTAATCTTGTTTTGTTATGAATTGAGTGATTGGTTTTAAAACAATAGTTTATGGGTACAGAATCTAATAGCCATAGTAATATTTGAATCAATATTTTTGACATTGTGGAGATATGGATACTGCAGTGAAGTTGTTCAATAAAATCCTAAGCGAACGCGTGGTTTCGTGGATAGCGATGGTGAATGGGTTTTTCTAATGTCTGGCTAGGTTGATCAAGCGAAGAGATTGTGTTTTATCAAGCTAAAAGAAAATTTCATATTGAGTTGGAGATATTGTTACCTGTAAATGACTCTTCACTTCATCATTGGTTAAGCCTTCTTCTTGCATATGCTCTCTGATTTGTTTAAGAGTCGCCACTGTAATTTAACCCAAAGCAGACAAAGATTACAACACATTTTTTTTGTTAAGTAACCAAACTCAAGAACAAGAACACAAGAAAACCATTTGTCTTCTTTACCTCCCGGTCCACTGAGCTGTTGCAACGCATCAACATATCGAAGATGCCAACACAAAGTAGCTTCAGTATGGCTATTAGTTACACATTCAATGGCTTTTACTCACAAAGTAGGCATCACTTTCTCCAATTCCTGAAGATTGCATAGGAGAGGATCGCTTCATGAGATCAGAAAGAATCAATACAGAACAAAAAGAACATAACACATAAATGTACCTAAAAGGCATCAAATCTGTAAACCTAAGAGGATAGTATCACTTGCTACCTAGGAACTCTTGATAGTACATTGACTTAAATACAAAAATGAATGTAGACTCAGTACATACCAACATGAGGGCACATGAACTGCTCTGAAGATTCATTAGCTTTATCAGCATCCTTTAGAACAAGCTGCAGTAAAATCAAGTTATACATGGTGAGTAAGGTTCACTACATATCAATTGATCCAAAGCACCTAGCAGTTCTAATTCCTGGGCAAAATACCCGAACCCGAATACCCGAACCGAACCCGACCTGTAATACCCGAACCCGTTTTACTTCGGTCTTCGTAATTTTTACAAAACACACACAAAAAATCCTACACGCAAAATCAAAAATCTAATCGAGTGTAAAAGCTTCACTAGAAATCACACAAAACGTCAAAGCCCAATTCGAATTCTCCGCCATGAAATCACAAATTCTTGAATCAGTTCTCCAAAAAAACGATAAATTGATATAACAATCGACGGATCCTCGAAGTAGCTGCTTTGAGTTCGTTTCCGAGAGACATACCACGTCAGCAGTTCTTAAGACGTCTAATAAAATCTTTTATTTTAGAACTGGTTCTTAGTATATTTGGGAGTTTTGATTTATTAGTTTAAGAACCTAAGTAAAAAATTCTACCAAAAAAACAAAAAAACCTAAGTCAAAAACTTAAAATTTACAATTGATGATCGTCATAGAAGGTGTTGTTCGTTTGACAGTTGTAGGAAGCCAGCGATTGCGACTGCGACTGTGACTGAAAGTTGTTCGTTTGATAACATTATGACCTATCGCTACGATTGCAACTGAAAATTTTTAGAGCAGAAGAAACAGCAATGCGATTAACTAGTCGCAACGACCAGTCACTCTATTACGAAACGAACAACATCTTGTTATTTATAGTCGCAATCATAGTCGCTAGCGATTATAAAACGAACATGACTCCACTAAAAATGAACACGAACATGACTCCACTAAAAATGATCTTGTTCTTAGTAAAATCTTGCAAGCTATTGGGTTTGAAACAGTAAGATTGTAAGAGACAATGAGTTTATAAGAGATAGTGAGATTGTAAGCTTGAGGAAAGTACATAAATGGAGTAAAGACTAGGGGTAGAGGATCGAAAGTTTGGGATTAGGTCTGAAAATTTGAGATTTCCCTAGGAGGTAGAGAGTTGAATGTTTGAAAATTGAGTGGGAGATAGAGAAGGAATGTTAATTAGATCTAAAATTGGGGTTTTCGATGAAGGCAAATTGGATTTAGGCACTAAATTTTTTCTAAGTGTCGCAGGTCTGAAAATTTAATTTACCGCCAACACTATCATACTTTTTAATGAGTATCTGCTATTAAATATAACAATACTTTTAATCTTTTAAAGCTAACAGTATATTATAGCGTTTGTAAATGTCCAAACGCTATATAAAAAAAATCGGCTCACCAACCATAGCAATATTAACCAAAACGCTATATTATAGTATCTAAAGCCAATATTCTTGTAGTATATTTTTCTTATATTGTATTGACTAGGATTTAACTCAAAATTGTTCCACACAATCTATAATCAATTCAAGGTTTTTTTTTGTTAGAAAGAGTAGAAACAATGTCTCACCAATTATTAAATTAACAAGAAAGAACTACAAACCCACCGTCCCTGGATGGGTACAACCTACAACATCCTCTAATATGACAGACTGTCTTCATCAATTTTGTTGAACAATTCTTGGGTTCACCCCTAGGGGTGAACCTATCTCATTCACCCCCTCTAAGCTAACCAATCAAAATTAGCCATGTCATCTAATTAAATGAATTAAAATAATTTATCTTATTAATTACAAACTTTAAATTTTAACCACTATATTATTAACCTAAACTTAAATATAATTTAGTTTATTTATAAAATCTAAACCCTAAAGTACTAATTTATCAACCCAAACCAAAATATAATCTTGTTTAATTACAAAATCTAAACCATAACCACTATTTTGTCAACCCAAACCAAAATATAATTTCGTTTAATTACAAAATCTAAACCCTAACTACTATTTTATCAACCCAAACCGAAATATAATTTTGTTTATTTAGAAAATATAAACCCTAACCACTATTTATAAACCCAAACCAAAAAATAAATTCATCTATTTATAAAATCTAAACCCTAACCATTATTTTATAAACCCAAACCAAATAAAATTTCCTAAATAAAAATCCTACAGAATTTGTTTCCTTAATTTGTTTTATTTTATGATTTTAATTTTGATTTATTTTTTAAATAGAAAATGACATGGCACGTTATTATATTTTGATTGGTTAATTAAGAGGGGTGAATGAGATAGGTTCACCCCTAGGGGTGAACCCAAGAATTTTTCAATTTTGTTGGATTCCACATATCTCATATTAGTAGTATTAGAAAGAAAAAAAATTAGCATGTATTGAAACATCTAATTAGTAATATTTTTTAAATAATATCTATTTAAACAAATCCCGCAATATATGGATAGTTGAGAATTATATATTGTTGGATACGTTAATATCAATAAGGGAAATACCTTTAAATAGCACTAAACATGTGTTTATTAAGTTTAGATATATCAATTATAGTATTTTAAACTTCATTAAAGTTTAAAATTTACTATATACGGTTAAATTAAATACATCACTAACTATATACAAAATTTTAAATTTGGATGCTTATAAAGTGAGTAAAGTTTCGTGCTCATTCGGATTTAGAGTCATTTTAGTCTTAGGGAGTGTTATTGGTTTATTGATTTGTAAATCCACATAGAATTTGTCAATCCTTATTATATATGAAATCAAAATACATGGATTTTGAAATAACATGTTTTATCCTTGGATTTGAATCCTTCTATTTTACACTATCAAATCCATTTAAAACATACTGCGGCTTTTAAAATCTAAAAACAAATCACTAAACGAATAACATAGGATTTTAACTAGTTTTATAAATCATACAACCAATAATACATGATTTTGATAGTTATTTTAAAATCAATGATTGAATAATATATGATTTTTGTTTGGATTTTCAAATCCATCAAAATCAATGATCGAATAACCCCCGTTATATATAATATGACTCTGCATCATTTTCTAAATATTTTAGCCAATGTGGGACGTTGAACTTATACTTTTATATTAATAGAGTATTATATGCCCGTTTTTCAAAATTTGAATCACAAGATATGCGTCGACAAAAAAAAAAAAAAAAATCAGAAGATATGCAAAATTTGTCTTTTTTTTTTTTGATTACCTTCATATATACTCAAAATAATTAAAAATAAAAGCAAACAAAGATGAAATTGAGAATCAAATTTTAAATCATGACAAAAGTTTCTAAAATATCTATATTATTAATTGTGGATAACGTAAATGGATATTTATGTTTTATAATTAATGTTAAAACCATTATATTGTGTTTGGTTATATGGATAGTAGAGAGAATTAATGGTAAAGTTGTTTGGATATGGATATATCAATGGCATATCTTGTACATAATTTGAAAATAATGATTTATTTACTAAATGTACTTAAAAAATACTTGTATATATTTTATATTTTATAGTCTCATAAAGATAAAACATAGTGATCAAAATATCCACTTTACGATAAACAAAATAGAGGAATTTCAATTTAGCTTAATAAAATTTATGAAAAAATAAAGAAGAAAAGGATGAGAAAAATATATGTTTCTTTGAAGAAATATCAATAATAAGTGGGCAGAGATAGCCAAGCTCCTGCCTGAAAGGTTAATTTGTCCTGATTAAATGACATATAAAAAATGATCACATTTGCTTGCTTTTTCTTTCTGAACTCTTGGTCATGGAATTAAACTCACATGACGAAGAATAATATTAAGAACCACTGGAATTGCTCAGTCAAGAAGAGACTGGAGCAGTTTTCTAGTAACCTCGTCTTATATGATTCTAGACCTCCTATTTTTGAATACAACTTTTTTAATCACAAAACATTACAAATGGAGGAAGCTGCAACGAGTACTCAATGGGATTCCTTGCAGTTAACTTTAGGACCCATGAATTGGAGGAGCACTCCTTCGTCAACAAGCTCTCTTAGAGGAGATGATACAAACTCATCATCATCAGTAGAATCTGATTGGTCAAGTCCCAAAGGTAAGGGTGAAATATATATCAGTGGATACCTTTTATAATTGATCATCACATGTTCTAACAAGTACTCTATTTATGTAAAATATGTTTCAGAGAGTACTGTAGAAACTCCACAGCACAGTAACGATAATGGGTGCATACAAGAAGTGAAGAAGATAAAAGATAGACTGAGAATGGTTGCGAGTACTTTCAACACACCTTCCATTATCTCCAAAAGAAGCTCCCCAACATCATCACGTCTGAAACGGCACAGACAAAAAGACGACACCCCCGTTTCATATAGATGCTGGAAGTCACAAGTCAAGTGAGGAAGTACACTCAAATATTTCAACTTCTCCTTTCTCCAAGTACAGACTTGCGCAACGTAACACTTGCTCTGGCTCAAAACCCTTGGAGAGGCGTTTAGATTTCGACTTTATGTGACCAAGAAAGTGCAATTTGATTTCTTTTTAACTTTGGTACTCTGGAATCATCAAGTTTAATAACTCATTAAAACTTTGTTTTAACTTTCTTGATGTACAATTGCTAAACATAATAATTAAGTTTTATGTCTTTTTATTCTCAATGATTCCTATTTATTAATGTAAAACATAATAATTAGGAAGACAGAAGGAAGCTTCTCCACATTCTATGTACCTAATTTCTCATCACCTTCCTAGTTTCCTAATTCTAACTTCAAAACAAAAACAAAACAAAAAAGCTAAAAACCCTTATATATATGTATGTTACATACAGCTACAAGTTTTACTCGTGGAAGGAAACCATATTATCTAGATCGTGAAAGCAGGAAATTGATAAGATCATCGAAGAAGCGAAAGAATGAGTCGTAAAATAGAGATCACGGGGATATCGGCGGAGGATCTCGTCTACAAGAAAAGACGGGTGAAAAAGAACGCCTACGGTGCCTTCGACACGGCAGGGAAATATATGAAACAGCCGATGAGAACGAGCGTCGACGAGATCAGTGGGAATTATCCGATGTGGGAGGACAAGCTGGAGACGGAGTTCTCGCCGGGGAAAGAAGCGGTTACGGCGACGAGTGTGATGTACGTGCAGGTTCTCTGCCGGAGTTCAGCTGGGGAGGATCACTGCGTGGGAACGGCACGTGTCCCTGTTAAGGATTTTACGGGAGAATATGCGCTGGAGGGTTTTTTGCACTGTCTCAGTTACAGGTTATGGGACGAGTCTGGCTGTCGTAACGGGATTGTCAATTTCTCCGTTAGGATTCTTCCCGATAAATCACATCTTAAATCCGGTCTCCGTCTGTTTTGGTTACGTTAAATAATGTTTGCTATTTATCTATCTACTCTCTAGGTTAACTAATAATTGTCGATATTTTTTATATAACTTTACTCTCTTTTTTTATAATTAGCAAAATCAAAATCCTTACTGATTGGTTTATTATGGGTTTCATTGGTTTTGTTGTTTCGGTACATACACTTCGTTTATGTTCGGTGTAGCCAAACAAACCATACATTGATAGATGACGATGGTTATGTTGTGTGTTACTAGTGTATGTTCAGAAAGACACGCCAATCTTTTCATTCAAAGGACATTAAGTGATAATCTACCAATTAAAACATCGTTCGTGTATATATATTTTATATATATTATCAACCAAAGAATTGTTGTGGACAAAAGTGATCATCTGGTAATAAAAATAAAATATTTTTAATAAAGAATAAAACAATTCTCTCTCCAAAAAGGGTGATTTTCTCGGTTCCCCTTCTTCGACCTAGTTCACCATTTGGGCTGGCATCTCGCCGGCCGATTCGCCCTCTCCGATGACAAAGAAGAGGAGGAAACTCCGCAGGCCTCCGCTCTCAATTGCGTTCTCTTCAAAGTTTAAGCGCATGTTAGCCTCCACCTTGACGTCTACCTCCATCTCTTCAGCGGGATGTTCGATTTCCGCCGCCTCCCACCCTTTCGCCGCCGCGGCCCAGTCCAACAACTCTATTCTGGTTGAGACACAGGGAATCCTTCCCTCTACTCCCTTGATGTCGCTTGAGCTAATTTTGGTCAGATCTGGTCATGTTCCTCAGTCACTAGCTTCAGTTGAGACTTCGGGTTCTCCCTCCTCGTCTCTTGAACAAGTAGTGGGACTTCCTCCTTCGGGTTCTTTTGTGTCTGAGATCTCCTCCGCAGGCCCCAATGGTATTCCTCAAGGAATTGCGGTTCCTAAAAGTGTAGTGGGAATTCATTCTCTTGGTCCCTCTGTGTCTGAGATATCCTCCGCAGAGCCCATTGGTACTACTCAAGGAATTGCGACTCAGGCTCCTACTCCTCAAACGGCGTCTTCTCCAAAGAATACCTCGGTGGGAACTATTGGAAAAGACACCACTGCTCCGTCGACAAGGGAATCTCTTTGGGCGACAAAGTTTAAAGCTTCACTCCACAATCTCCGGCAAATGGACGCTCCTTCTTTCAGAGAGGACGGAACTCCGGTGGTGATGGCACCTCCGTCTGTGCTCCTAAAAACAGCAGAAATGTGGAAGGGTCACCTTGTTGCTCAGTTGCATGGGCTTTTCCCTCCTCCCACAAAAATCTTCAATGATCTAAATCCGATTTGGGGGAAATTTGGCAACATAATCGTTCGTATCATTTCTGAGACAACAGCTCTCATTTTCATTCCTTCCACGACTACTCGCCAATGGGTCGTTGATATAGGGTTCTGGCAAGCTGGTAACTGTGCTTACACGGTCTATCCTTGGTCTCCAGAAGGTCCTATGGAATTGGAAGAGCTCCACTCTGCTCCGACATGGGCGATTCTAAAACGCGTGCCACCTCAACTATATTCGCTTGAGGGAATAAGTGTGATCGCTAGCGGCATTGGAAAACCTCTCCATACTGAGAAATCAAGGCTGGATCCTATCAACATTGGCTCCACCAAAGTAAAAGTGCTCATCAACCTGCATTTCTCTTTGCCTACAACAGTAGTGGTAAAAGACGTCCAAGGAAATACTGCTAGAGTTGAGGTTGAATACCCTCGGCCTCCACCTAAATGCCTCAACTGTGGTCGCTATGGACACCTTCTGAGTAGGTGCCCTTTACCGCTTCAGAAAAACTTCCTTCCAAGAAAGACTTACCATCTGGTTCAAGGGTAGTCACTCACCCATCGGTCACCCTGTCAGCTAATCCTGAGGGGGAAGAAAAACCCGTAAGTCCTCAGACGAGCGATCAGATTCGTTCTCCCAGAAGACGCAGCTCCCGGTCTAAGAAGAGGTCTACTAGCACTCCCCCGGTTCTGAGCATTCCCTCAACCAAGGAATTAGCGCAACAAATTTCTTCTTAAACTGCTACCACGTCTCATACGGCAGGAAAAGCTGAATGGGTTGTAAAACAAAGCTCAAAGACAAATCAGAAAGGAAAAGAGAAGGAGGGGGAGAAAAGCCAGGGAACTTCTTCACCCCAGATTCCCGTCAAACCGATTGGAGAGTTCTCTATGGCGGAATCAAGTGCTATGAATAGATTCCTCCCTCTTGCTGTTTCTCTTGAGCCCGATAGGAACAATCTAAAGGACTCTTCCTTCCCTCTTCCCATTGGTTGGGATGCTATGTCAAAGAAGACTAGGAAGAAACTTCAAAAGATATGGCATAACTAGCAAAGATCTAAGGCACAGGCGACTGCTCGGGATGATAATTCGACCTCACCTGTTACTCACCCTTGCTGATTTCGAGTTCACCGTACAACTTTTTGTGTTCTATGTCGATTTTTTCTTACAGTATAAGAGGCTTAAACAGCCATTCTCGACAACGGTATGTACGAAGCTGGATTGCTTCTAATAACTTTTTGGTGGGTTGTCTTCTTGAAACTCATGTTTCTGAGTCCAATGCCAGCTCGGTATTGGCTGCTACTCTTCCAAGCTGGAGAATGGATAACAATTATTGTTGTTCTCCCTTAGGAAGGATTTGGATTGTTTGGCACCCCTCAGTGTCTGTTTTGGTCTTCTGGAAATCAGAGCAACTTTTGTTGGCAAATACAAAGCTCCCCTTCATTGATCAATCTATTGTTATGGCTTTTGTCTATGGTAAGAATTCAGAGGCTGACAGAAGGTTATTGTGGGAAGAAATTTCAGAATTATCTTATTCTTCCCTCTTGCAGAATACTCCTTGGGTTCTTCTAGGAGACTTCAACCAAATTACTGCGGTTAATGAGAATTTCTCCATTCTTCACAACAATCTTTCTCTCAGAGGCATTGATGATTTCCAAGAGTGTATTAGGACAAATGATTTGTCTGATCTCCCCAGCAGAGGGGTGTTCTTTACATGGTCCAATCATCAAGTTGGAAATCCCATTATAAGGAAGTTGGACAGAGCGATGGTTAATGCTACATGGATCGACATTTTTCCTAATGCTACAGCCGTGTATGATCCCCCGGGTGACTCGGACTACTCCCCTTGCATCGTCAGGTTGCAGAACCATCAGAGCCGATCCAAGAAAACCTTTAAGTATTTCTCCTTCCTTGCTACTCACCATTCTTTTCTAGACCGCATATCCGCTGCATGGAATGAGGAGATTGCGGTTGGATCTCTTATGTTTTCTCTTGGAGAGAGGTTAAAGGCTGCTAAGTATGCTTGGAGGATTCTCAATCGTCAGGGTTTTGGTAACCTCCAACAGCGTACGTCCCAGGCCCTTGAAAGCTTGGAATCCAGTCAGTCAAACCTCCTATCTCTCCTCCAGTCTCTCTGTTCAGGGAAAAGTTCATGGCTCGCAGGAAATGGAACTTCTTCTCCGCTGCTCTTGAAACTTTTTACAGACAAAAGTCCAGAATTAGATGGCTCAAGGAAGGTGATGCTAACACTAGATTCTTTCACAAAGTAGTGATTGCTCATCAAGCAAAAAACTTGATTTCCTTCCTGAGAGGTGATAATGATATAAGAATTGAGAATGAGAACCAGATAAAGGACATGAAATTACTCTCACCTGCTAGGATCTAAGGACCCCTCTGTTTCACCTTATACAGTTGATCAGATCAAAGATCTCCATCCCTTCAGGTGTGACTCTCATCTTGCGGATAAACTGACGTTTATCCCTTCATTTCTCAGGCTGTTCAAGGAAATCAAGTGGGGTTCATTAAGGGCCGCTTGTTATGTGAGAATGTCCTCCTCGCCTCTGAACTAGTTGATGGTTTTCACCTCCCTGGTGAGGTCTCTAGAGGATGTCTCCAAATTGATTTAAGTAAGGCCTATGACAATGTGAATTGGGAGTTTCTTTTAATCATCATTCACGCCATGAATCTTCCTCCTCTTCTTATCTCTTGGATTAAAGTTTGCATTTCAACGCCGGCTTATAGCATTGCTTTCAATGGTGAATTGATTGGACTTTTTCAGGGGAAGAAAGGAATTCGTCAGGGAGATCCCATGTCATCTCATCTGTTCGTTTTGGTTATGGACATTTTGGCAAAAGCTTTGGATAGAGGAGCAATGGACAATCACTTCAAGCTTCACCCAAAATGCTTGGCCCCAATGATCTCGCACTTAAGTTTTGCTGATGACGTTCTCGTCTTCTTCGACGGTACAGATACCTCCATGGAAGGCATCCTTGATATCCTTGATGAATTCAAAAAGGGTACTGGTCTTGGAATTAATAGGCAAAAGACGGCCCTTATCATTGATGGTGGAGACTTTGAAAGCACAAAACTTCTAGCGGCCTAATTTGGAGTCACTCATGGATCCTTACCTGTAAAATACCTAGGAGTTCCCCTTATGGCCCAGAAGATGAGGAAGCAGGATTACCAGCCCTTCATTGATAGAATTAACAAGAAATTCTCTTCTTGGACTGTAAGGCACCTCTCTTTTGCTGGTAGACTTCAACTCCTCAAATCTGTCATCTACTCCACCATTAACTTTTGGTGCTCAATCTTTATCCTTCCTAACCAATGCCTTGCTAAGTTGGAACAAATATGTAGTGGGTTCTTATGGATGTCCTCCCCCGATTCTGCTAGAGGAGCAAAAATTTCTTGGGAAACTGTATGCACAGCAAAGGAGGCTGGCGGATTAGGCCTCAAGAGACTAATTTCTTGGAATAGAGTTTTGGCTCTAAAGCTAATTTGGTTGATTTTTACTACAGCAGGATCTCTTTGGGTTTCCTGGATCCGTCTCAATGTTATAAGGAACATGAATTTATGGGATCTTAATTCGGCCACTCATGGAAGCTAGCTCTGGAGAAAGCTTTGCAAGCTCAGGCATGTCGCTAGGCCTTTCATTGTGTGTGAAATTGGCTCGGGTGTCACTGCCAGCTTTTGGCATGACAATTGGACCGGGTTAGGACCTCTCATTGATCTGGCTGGTAATAATGCTCCTCAAATTGTTGGCTTATCCTCAAAAGCTACCGTTAGGAAAGCCATTAGAGGATCTCAGTGGTGGATATCTTGTTCTAGAAGCAGGAATCCGATTTTAAGGCTAATCAAGAGTATCATGCCCGAGGTAGAAAGGTTGATTGATTGTCAGCATGATGATGTTTATCTTTGGAAGCCTACTCATCATGCTCCATCAAACTACTTCTCTACTTCCTTGACTTGGCAGACCTTGCACCCGGATGGTCCCTTGGTCTCGTGGCATAACTCAGTCTGGTTCTCCAATCACATCCCCTAGCATGCTTTCATCTGTTGGGTCATCGCTTGGAAGCGTCTTAACACCAGAGATCGTCTTCATGGCTGGGGTCTTACTGTTCCTCTATCTTGCTTACTCTGCTCTATTCATCAGGAATCTCACGATCACCTCCTTTTTTAGTACGATTACAGCTATCGAATCTGGCATTTCTTCACCCGCAGGCTGCACCTCTCCCCCCCTCTTCACTTCACACCCTCTCTGTTGTGGCTGAGAAATGCCACCAATAACTCAAATTTGGCGTTCATTTTAAAGCTCATGTTTCAAGCTTCCGTTTATCATATCTGGGTTGAGCGAAATCAACGCCTCTTCACTTCTTCTTCCAAGACTCCACAAGTCATCATTAAAGAGATCTAGATCCTCTTAAAAGCTCGTCTAGCTCCCTTGTCGGCCTCTCAAAGAAATGTGCGACCGGGAGAGACTCTCTTGGCAACCTGGTTTAACCACTTCCTCTAACATCGGCCCGGGTTCTTTTGGTTTCTTTGGTTTCGATGCTGGTTGGTTGCTCCTCCTGTTGGGTGTGTGGGTGCTCTTCTTCTTTGGTCTTGTTGCAGGTTCGTGGAGCTTTGCAGGTCAGATTTCTTCCTCCAAGAGTTGGGTTCTTGTTCGTTTGTGGGCTTGGGCTAGGGGCCTTCCTAGGTTCTCCTGTTCTTGTCCTTTTTTTTCCCTTTGTATCGGGCATGTGGCCTTGCTTTGGGTCATGGACCTTGTACCTTTATATGTCTCCTTTCTCCTTTTATCCTTTTATTTGGGCATGTGGCTATGTTGGACCGTTTAGGTCTTGTAATCGGCGTGTTATTTATGGCATTACTTTTTAATAATAATAAAAAAAATCAATAAAAAATAAAAAATTATAAAAGATATTTTGATTTTCATAAATAGTTAGTCTATGAAATTAGTTTCTTCTTTTCTTAGAAGAACAAAGAATACTACTTCTCTTTCAAATAATCATGAAGTATTCCAGGGATTATATCTCTAGAATAAAAATTACATTACTTCAACTTTTGATAATGTATTGCAATAGGTAAATACTTGTATAATACAAAGTTTTATCATTGATACATATGGTAGATTTTTTATAGCTTTTTACTCAACAGTGCCCATGGCACCAATGAGTCTTTAGAGGTGCTCGAAGTCCGCTATTTTCATTCCCTCGTAATCCAAAGCAATGTAATTAAAACTCTGCACACAAATAAAGAAAACTATCAAATTTGGAAACTTAGCTATGGTATAGAATATATAGTAACTCTATCTACCCGCATGAATGGGGGATAGAGTTGTAAAGTTGATTATTTGTTTTCTAAAAAACTACCATTAAGTTTTAAACAAGAATTGCAATATATGGTTTATATTTGGCAAAAAAAATAGAGAAACAAACACGACTAAAAATGAGGTACAACTTTGCTTACCTTACTTGGTTTTTTATGCTTAAGTTTTTGGTATTATACAATTTCTTACCGATTATATTGTTTAGAAATAAAGGTGTCACAACAACAACAGATTTTGGGATGAATAACTACAATATGAACATGTCATGGAAATTTGGTGTGTATCTTTTAGAAGAGCAAGTGTTATGGATTCTTCTATCAAAGAGGGGGATACATACCTTCAACTGGAGTGTGAGTATAGGTATAAATTCAAGCATTTCATTCATGCCAGATTGTGTAGACCACAATTTTACCCGCAATAAGTTTAATAGGAAAAATGAAGCTTCATTAGAAGGAGACTTAAGCCAAAAAAAAAAAAAAAAAAATCCCAAGTGTTCAAACCTGTGCATGTAACAGCTTGACAAGACTTAGAATAAGATGATCTTTTGACTCTAATTAAATTTCACATAGGAAAGATACAATGAAATAAAAAAAATATATATTTAAAATTCAAATTTCACTTCTTTGGTTAGTTTATCCCTAATGGTTGGTTTCAAGAGTATTATGTAAATAATTATCTATCTCCTCATTGAATATGTAAAAACTTATGAACAATTGGTTCTTTCTTGCCACATCTCTATCTTACCAAGTACCAATAGATAGTGACAAATCTAATACTAATTTAAGTGCTGGTAATGTTTGATCATAAGACTTTTAACCGGAAACGCAAGTGGGCCAGGGGGCTGCAAACACGTGGGCTGTGCAGTTTGGACCTATAGAAAAGAGGTTAAAATCGATGCGTTGCAGCGCTTGTAACTGCCATGTGGCGTGGTGTGCCATGTGGCAGAGGTTCCCACCGGGATGGGTTGTTACACATGTTTATGAAAACATACTATTAATGCACAAATATTTTTAATCAAATAAAATTCAAAATTAATTTCAAGTCATTTATGTATGAATAATTAATATAAATAAATAAGAATAAGCCGACAAAAAAAATGAATAAAAATAAAATTATAATATATTCTTAAGAGATTGTAAGTATGAAATAACAATATTTAATTTTTGATATTTGATTACATGTTTTTATTAATATAAGTATTATTCTTCTAATTAAAAAATAAAAAATATTAAACACTTCTTTCCCTTTACTAACCTAACTAGGGTAAACGTATCAAAGCCGCGCAACAGCATTGAAACATATATAGCAAAAACAAAACAGAACAAACCCCTAATCTTCGCCACTAGTTCCAACCACACGAAACCAAACCACTCTCATGGCAGACACAAAGAAGGTTCAATCCCCAGAACCAACGGTGGTTGATGATGAGAATCAACGGATAACATCATCCCCGCCGCCGCCGCCACCACCACAATGGAAAGGGATGAGGTACCCTTCTCCTATGGTAATGCCACATCATATGATGTATGCTCCACCACCTTATCCTCCTCCTCCTTATCTTCACCATCATCAGTTTCATCACCAGCATCATCATTATCATCAGTCTCGTGGTAATAAGCATCAGAATGCTTCGAATACTGAGAATAAGACTATTTGGGTTGGTGATTTGCTTCATTGGATGGATGAGAATTATCTTAATTCTTGCTTTTCTTCTTCTGGAGAGGTTTGGTTTCTTGACTCTGTTTGCTTTTGTTATGTAAAGTTTTGGTTTTTATGTGTTTTTTTGGCTTTTGTAATGTTGGATGTTTGGTTAAGCTTGGTTGCTTCCATTAGTTTTTTAGTGTATCTTTGTATGTTTTGTCTCTTTTATTATCTCTGATTAGTGTTTCCCAAAAACCTCTGTTACGAAAGCTATTTAAAGTTTTGGTTTTTATGTGTTTTGGTAGCTTTTGATTAGAATGCAATCACCAGTTGTCTTGTGTATCTGTTTCAGTATGAAGTAGGAATTTTTGGTTGGTTAAGCTACTGTAATGTACATGTAAA